TCGGCGAAATTCGTTTGCGAGGCCCCCCGTTTTTTAGCAAGTTGAGTAGTGGTGCATGGCATCGTGCTTTGAGGCAAATTGCTGAATCTTCCCGTGCCGTAATTTAAATTTTTTAATAGCTTTGAAAATATTCGATAAATATCGAAGCGCGTAAACGCCGTGTTGCAGTCTAACGGTTATACATTGGTACGAAACGCATAGTAATGTAAACAAAATTTGTACTTATTAAAATCTTTATAAAATATCTGATAATTTGATGTGCATATGTCTAATGAACTTTTTTGTTTGATAAATGGCTTTATTTCTACTTTTTTTTCTTAGATCTCCGAAACCGCTATACCTGCCTTCCTAAAAATGTAGTCAGTTTAGCACTTTTTGCTCTGTACCTTCGAAACGTCTCGTCCTGCTTTTGCCAAAAACTAATCAACACGTCTTTCTTACCTTATCGAATGTTTTCTGAATTTTTCAAATTGGTTGATCCGTGTTCACGAAATCGTCGACGAAAATTTGTATCCGCACAAATATACGACGTGTGTTCAAAAAGTACCCGGAATTACTAATAATTAAATTTCGCGGGTCTGGAGTGTCTGATTGTCAAAATTTTTTTTTTATTGTGTTGGTATACATGCCCCTAAAGTATGATGAAATTTTCAGCTATATTCACTGTTTACTTTGTCTGTGGTAGTCGCTAAGGTTCGACGTGTTTTTCTGAGCTCGGCGATTTTTACAATGGAGAATTGAAAAGTCAAAGAATTTGTATTAAATTTTGCGTAAAAAATGAAATAAAGTGTTGCAAAGTGCAAAAATTCACCAGATATGGCTCCGTGTGACTTTTTCCTATTCCCAAAGTTGAAGAGACCCATGAAAGGACCGCGGTTTTCCTCGATTGAAGAAAATCGCTGAGAGTGCTCAAGGACATATCAAAAAGTGAATATCAAGGGTGCTTCGAAAATTGGAAAAAACGCTGGCATAAGTGTATTATATCTGGGGGGGACTACTTTGAAGGGAACCACATTAATGTAGACGAATAAATAAATAGTAAGCCAAAATTTTCAGTAATCTTTGAAACGTGAAGATAAATATTTTTTTTTTTCATTTTCGTTTTTTTTGCGATTACTATAAGTGTAAATGAGATTTATTTTTAATCAGATAAATACACCAATTGAAATAGACAAAACATACACAAATTAAAATAAACAAACTTTTCGGCAAAAAAGTTTTATTCTCCAGCTATTAGAAAAACCCTGAAATTAAATAATTATCCCGAAGAAGTTTCTTTTTGTCAAATCATTCGATTAGCAAATTTAATGTTTTTTGACCGTTCAAGTCATTCTGAATAAAAATGGTTGGAAACCACGACTTAATCAATAACTAATTAGACAAAATTTTGCAATGTGCAAATGATTAATTAGATTAAAAAATTTATAATCACAATAATTTGAGTGCACACAAATCCGCACATAGAAGGTACACATGATGGCATGATCTAAAAGCTTGGCCAAGCTAACCTTCTTTTAGCTCAAAAATTAACCAGAAAGCTCTCTCGTAATATATACAAATATTCCAACCTTTTTAAATAAAAAACACTAGATCTTTGTTTTGTGATCTGCACAAATCTTTTGATCATTTATAACCCAAAACTCTCTTGTAATCTGTGTAGATCAGAACCCAAGATCTTTCTAACCTTTTTTTAAAGCTAAAAGAAGTATCCAATCTTTTTTTAATGCTATTTTTATAAAGGTGTATGAAGCATGATTCTGAAAAGCGTCTCTGTGATGTATTCGACTCGTGATATAAAATTGTGGCAACATCAAAATTGAAAATGTGATTTCTCACCTTTTTCGGTCTTTTATTAAATTATTTTTGTTTTCCTACAATAGTAGCATGTGATTGTTGTGTTGGAAAATGTGATAGTAAAGTGTGTTTTTTCCTGATCTGGTGTGTAAAATATGTTTTTTTTTCAATCAATTTTACTAATGTATAAAGTTATTTTTTTAAAACTTTTTCTTTTTAATGTAAATTTCTTTTAGCTGAATGATGAGACACATCTAGTCTCGAAACGTGTAAAAAATTAAAATAAACTTTTTACATTCGACGCATTGGCTGTTTTATTCAATTCAAGGAAGAGCAAAGAGTACAGAAAATAACAATCCAGTTTTTGAGAAAACGTAGCATCCGATTTGAATGATATAAAAAACATTCAATTAGTAATGATTGAGAGAAGTGGTTATTAGTTTTTGGCAAAGGCAGGCCCAGCCATTTCGGAAATACAGAGCTAAATGTGCAAAAAATGGCAGTTTTTGAGTGAACTAAGCGTCCGATTTAAATGATTCATAGAACTTTCTGCTTGTTTAAACAAAATAATTGATTTTGGAAAAAAAATTATGTCTCAAAATTGTTTTTTCAAATTTTTTTTCAGACTTTTTTTTGTCGAAAATAATTACCTTCCCGAAGGAGAAGTTCATGTTTTCATCAAAAAATCCGATTCGCTAATTTTATGTTTTCTCGACGTTTCAAGCCATTCTGAATCGAATGAGACCAAATTTGGAAATAGTATGTGTGTGTGTGTGTGCGCGCGCGTGTGTGTGAACAAATTTTTTGTCGTAAATCGACGTTTTCTCAAAAACGGTTGGACCGATTTCAAAAATTTAAAATCGATGTATTTCGATGAGGACTAGCGTTTCTGAGTTTTGTGTGACGATCGGCCGAGCCGTTTTTTTGTAAATCGCGGAAAAGTTAAAAAAAAATCGTCCACGTTATAGCCGGCAATTCCTAATCGATTTTGAAAATTCAAAAACCGTTCGAAAGATATTGGTTGGGAATCGTGCTGATTAGTTTTTGGTAAAGATCCGCCGGGCCGTTTTCTTGTAATATGGTTTAAAAAAAATCGATGATTTTTATTATTATTTTTGGACGGTAGATACCATAGTCTTCTAGATCATACTAAAATATTACAGCCCTACGACAACTCGTTTAGCTTTAAAAATTTATCAAAGTTTGCAAAAATTAGTATAATTCTTCTGGCATTTGTCAAAATTAGACCTGTGATCGACGTTTACTCAGAAACGCCTGAACCGATTTCAGAAATTTAAAAGCCATTTGATGTATCTCGATGATGATTGTCATTTGTCAGTTTTGTGAGACCAACGGCCAAGCCGGTTCTTTGTAATTTAGAAAAAAGTGTTAAACTTTTCGTCCACATTTAAGCTCATACTATCGAATCGATTTTAAAAAATCAAAAACTGTTCGAAAGATATTAGTTGGGAATGGCACTGATTAGTTTTAGGTGAAAATCAACCGAGCCAAAAAAAAAAAATTTAAGCCAATTTTTATGGAACTTTTTTGGCGATATATATCATGGTCTTATAGAACTTACTGAAATATTATGGCCTTACGACAAGTAGTATAATTCTAAAAATTCATCAAAGTTTGAGAAAATGACATACTAAACCATTAAAGTCCTGCGGAAACTGATTCAATTATATAAATTGTTGATTTTTGAAAATTTGCTTTTAGAAAATACTACGAGTTAACGTGTTCGTTCGTTTTCAATTATATGTGTAATAAAACGACTCGCAATACTTTTAATCACTTATAAATTAATTTATTTTTTATTTATTAAGTCAATTATTTACACATATCGGGAAGTTCATGTAACTTGCCTCAAGGCTAAATACCAAAACCCACTAATTCAGATTTTATTTTTAATTCTGAATAAAGTTCTAATATACTTTAAACTAATAATTTCAACTTTGCAATTCAGTTTTTATAATTCTTATAAATATTAGACAATGTTACAATATTTATAATAATCTATTTGAAAGCATTCAATATTCCGCGAACACTTCGTTACGGTTCGGGAAGTTCCAGCAATTTGTCTTAAGGCACGATGCCATACACTCCTCTAGTTTATAAAATGTTTTAATACTAGCCAAAAAATAGTGTATTGTATTCCTGTTTCTATATATGCCCATAATTATGAAAGTGGTCTAAGTCATATATTTCTTGTTTCAAGATATTTAATGAATTGCATTTGAATAAATTAAAAAATATTTTTACATTATGCGACATTTTAATTTTGAATTTTATTAGTCTCAATTAATGGAAATTTATTATGAATATGAAATTTTGTGTGAATTTCATACGATAATATTGTTTTTAAAGTTTGAATTGACATAGACCATTTTCAAAATTAACTGAATATCCTATAAATGACTTAAAGCAATAAAGAACTTTGAGTTTTATTTAAAACAATAATTTTATTGAAATAATTCGTGAGCATTTATTTATTATTTTTAAACGGTTTATTTCGAGTATTTAAGATTCTTAAAATGTTCCTGAAAAACTGGAGGGATGTACGGTAGTAAACTCATAATATCTTTATGTTTTTCTTCCGATACTGGTCTAATGCTGGTAAATAATGGAAGTAATTTAATATTTCCGTATATTTTTGGTCTTAAATTATAAGTTTATTTCATTTTTGAAAATGTTTTTAATATATATGAAAATATATTTTTTATGAGTATGTTTTGTTATCATTTCACATATAAAAATTTCAGATTTATAGTAACTATATTATATATAAATTTAACTTAGAATTAAACCTAAGGATTTGGATTTATCTAGAATTGAACCTAGGGGTAAATTTTCACGCTACACTCGTCGCGCCTCTATAGCAGGAACGGAAAATTTAAATTAAAATAATCGAAAAGCGGACCTGTTTGCTATCTATTTATACTTGTTTATCTACCATTTTCAAGATATTTATATTTTTTTTTAAATTTTTGACTTAGATCATAATTAACACTAAATGAATTCCATATAATGTTGAAATTACAACCACTATCTAATGGTTCATTTTTGACAATTTCGTAAAAATTACATTGAATACATTTAGGGTATGAAATAATTAAATTTTGACTTAGACCACTTTCATAATTATGGGCACATATATGAGTTATATTAATGTATATGACGCAAACATATAATGAAATATTTCGTTAATATTTTGAACTGTAAGGAAGAGACGTTCTACGATTAATATTACAGAAGCCTTTCATTCCACTGGGTCCCATAGGATTTCTCAATATATGGTCATGAATAAACACATCGCTATTAGATCTTGCACGAAATGTGGATGCATTGAAATCAACAGAGCACCTTCTACTGGTGCAGCAAGAACTGCAAGTACTGCAAGAACTGCAAGATTGTCTTCTTAATCCTCCAGATAATAAAAAACTATCTTGTTCAAAAGATTTTTTTCCACTAGAATTCGTCGATGAGCTAGAGGAACTCATTTTGCGTTCAAGCCACAGACTGCACGGGCAACTAGAATCTCTAAGCTTGCAGCATCTTGTAGCATTTGAAAATGTAAACTTTTCTTGCAACTCTCTCGATTTGTTTTTTAGTTTAGTTTTCATTGCTTCAAGTTCAAAAACCTGCAAAGTGTCACTGCAACAATCAATAGCTTTTTTCATACCATCAATTTCTTCAAATTCTACTATTGCACAAATGGAGCTTTTAAAACATGGATTTTTGCTGAAAAACACTTGTGTTGTAACAGGTTTTGGATTGTTTGGTTTCAATATCTGTATTAGCATAATATTACCACATTTAGAGAAAACTTTAGCAATATGCTCAATATTTGCTATTTGAACAAGTATATCAACTACTATAATGGTTTTAGTATATTCTTTTTCGATAAATAATGGAAGTGGCTCCACTCTTTTGATTTTGGTTCTCGCTTCATTAAACTGCAGCTTATCTGATTTATTTAGAGCATTTGCAACAATCCTCCAATCTTTTGTTAAATATCTCACTCGTTTAAAACTTGAAACCAATTTTAACGAGACAAACCCTTCTTTATTTCGTTTAATATGTTTCAACAAAAATGCATCCTTTGAAATATTGTCATCTGAAAAATAAAATTCTACTTGTTGTATAATTTGTTGTTCCAGGTCATTATCTTGTATATTAGAAGAATTTATTTTCTCTGCATTTTCTTTTGTTTCACTATTATTTTCTTCATTAGAAACTTCACAATCTATATTTTGATTTGATAACAAAATTTCAACACTTTCTATAGAAGGTCTCCGATCAAAAGATAAGGACAAATCACTATCAACTGATGATATGCTTCCACGTGCTTCAAGCAGTTTTCTTCTTTGATGAGAATTCAATAAATTATCCAACCCATCGAGTTTTTTAGATTCGTTTATTGTTTGGTTCAAAATTTGAGACATTTTTATATACTGACAGATTACACATTATTTTTAATACAATATTTCTTAAAATTTAAGAAATATAATAATAAAACGAAATTTTACATTTTACAGCAGGAAAATCCAGACATGATAAAACTCGTATAATATATAGTATGAAACTCAATCAAAAACACACAAGAAGTGACTTATATAAAATCACGAAGTACTCGGAGGGGATATAAATGATATTAATCGGTGTACTCTTTAAAACTGGCATTTTTTTCATATATTATCGATACCTTCACGAACAGTAGATGTCCCTCAAATCCCCACGCAAAACATAAGTTACTGGTACATATGCAATACAATACAGGGTTATATGTATAGGCAAACGTATGGTAAACGTATATGTTATTTACAAGCTTTCGCTTTGACAATTTAACAGCAGATTAAAAAGTAAAACTAGTGGGATGCTTATTTACCTAAGCTATGGAAATATATATGGAAAAATTATATGATTTGCACATGCATCCTGTGCTCACTTAAACTAAACAATTATCATAACATATTTAACAACTTTTTAACAGTATTTACAAATTACATTCAAATCACCCAAAGCAAGTGGGTTAAAGTCGTGTAATTTTTTAATTTCCTCCCCCCTTTGAATTTAAAAATGGATTTTTCTGTGGGACGTGTGCCCCACGTTGGGAATTACTAGTCTAGGAGTACAATTTTTTAATCTACTATCAGGTTAATAAATAATTGAGTGATCATCAATTCCACAGCACCTTCATCAGATTTTTAAAAGATCAAAGTTTCTATGAATATGCATACAAATCTCAAATTGTAGGCCGAAATTTAGACAATAAGTCTATTGAAATATCAGGGTAACTCTTTTGCTATAAATTGTTAACTAATTTACCAATAAATAAATGCCAATAAAACAATGATTAAAAAAAATTACCAATAAATGTTGGATTGTAAAAATTTACAAGCGATCGAACGGCCTATATTTTTGCCTTAAATGGCAAAAAATTCATCCAATTATTAAAATATTACATTTTTTTGCAGTTCTTATGCTTTTGTATTTATAGAATTGCTTTTTCCGCTACAATCAATTTCCATTATATAAATATCTTAAACTATTTATTTTATTCGACTAACGCCCGCTATGTCCGAAACAAGTCCAACTTATATCCGAAATAATCGGGCATCAGACACTTTTCGGTCTTAAAGTAACATATGTAAAATTTGGAATGCACTACTGTATTGTAATTAATATTTCAGTTCATACATCTCAATTTGTAACTAAATTAAGAACGACTTTGATAAAACCAGTGGTGTTGTGCTAATATTTTTTGTTGGAACGCTAAAATTTAAAAACTGGTTCATAAACCGGTTCTCACGTTTTTTCCGGTTCCGTTCGAAAAGGAAAAATTATTACAAAACCCATTGTGTGCACATATATGTATGTTTATTACAATAATAAGAACATTTAATAAAAATTAGTTGAATAATAATATATAAAATTTACTTAATAAATCATTTTTTGTATGTAGCGATTTTTTTATATTTTTTCTTGCCGGAACGCGTTCCTTCCCAAAAATGATTTGCCGGAACGACGTTCCGGCGCGTTCCGGCTCGACAACACCACTGCTCATTCTACATGTATACGCTCACTAGCTTCAAAGTGAGTTTAATTAATATCTCCTGGTGAAAGTAATCCATTTTAAATTTAATTTTAAACAAATAGCGTATGCACAAGTACTGCTATATTTATTAATTTGTCTAACTCAGTCCATATTGATGAAAATCCTGACTATGAAGTACAATTAAAAACTTTGTTTTTTTACTCATGAATTTACCTTTGTCAGTTAATACAGCACCTCCAGATTTTACTTTTTTTTCATTACGCCCGAGAGTACATTAATTTGGGTAGGAGTGATTCTGCCTAAGCCCACATCATTTAAGCAAATATTGATTTAATTTACTAAAGCCTCTTCAAACTTTGAACCATTTCCTTATCTATGCTTTGAACTTTCTTCATATTTTTCTGATTGAATATCCTTCCTGACTGTAAATAGTATGCATATTGGTAGTAGCAAACAAAATTTATATTTTGAATTTCATTATTCTTACCTCTGTTATTGTAAAATCATAAAAAATAAATGATGAAAATATGTAAGAAATATGAATTAATGTCTAACCTAAAAATGCACGTTTTACATCAAAACAAATATTAGTTGACAGCAAATTCAACTCATAAATGTGTCATCCGTCATATTTGTTGGGCACCAAGTTGCACTTAAAATCCGCTAGAGGAGAGCTTGCCCGTTCCCTATTAATTAATTTTGTAAATTTGATGACTTTAAATAATTTTTCTCTTTCCCGCCATTTTAAATAATAAATCTGACATTTTACGGTACATCCTCGAACAAAAAGATTCAAGTCCTCACTGCTTTGAGGCTTTTGTTTGGAATGATTTGCTTTGTTCGGGTTTGTTCTTCTTTTTTTTTCATGTTCGTTCGTGTTCGTTCGTTAGGTGTGGCGCACCTTGACGAACGGCAACACCATAGTGTGGACGCATAGACCTTATACAATACATGGACTGCTAGTTGAGCGCATAAAAAGTGTCAAAAGATGTTCTATGGTATGAGGGCATACGAGGGTAATTTCACGGCCGAGATATGTCAAATACGAACACGAGCTTTACCGAGATTAGTCGAATGCTCTCGATCGCTTAAATGTTACAGTTACTTGGGTTCACGTGATGTTTGATCGCTCGGGTTTTTAAACTATAAGAGGATAAATATATACCTGTTGTAAAATTGTTAAAAGTAAAATGTCTTCTAAAATGTGTTAGGTAAGGTCCCTGATTGCAGTAAAACCTGTTTTGTGCTGTTCTGTATGCTTCGCAAGTATTCCGGGAAATTCGACATTGATCGATATAAAAAATCGAGGATATCTTTCATATCCTTCCGAAGAAATGTTTAATTTATGTTTATATATAGAAAGCCTAATTCAAAATTCTTTAAATTTAATGTACAAAAGTTCATATGAAAGCATGATTCTCTGAAAGTTGAATGACTTGGGACTTGCACATTTTTTTAGATCAAGTTATTTCCAGCAATTTGTCCAGCATTATCATGACCTTATCAACTTTGTCGCAAAAATTTACTTAGCAATTAGAATGCACCATGAAGAAAGAAAGAAAAGCAAAGTTGATAAATATGTACTCCGCTTTCATACGAAAATTGTGCTTTTTAAACACCAATAATAAATATATTACATTTAAACAAATATTTCATTATTGCTTTCTAATTTCCCATAATAGCTCTAGCCAACTGTCCTTATTTTCAGTGAATTTTATAATATGTAAAATATTGTTTTAATTTTTTTTCTAATTTCCCTTAAACACTTTGTATAACTAAAATAAATAAATTAATAAATAAATAGTTCATTACATTCATTAGTTCAACATAAATTGTATATTATATAATATTTTGCCAACAATTTCGAACACACGGACTTTCATTTGACGTTTAAGCGATCCAGTTTGACATATCTCGGCCGCGAAATTACCCTTGTATGCCCTCATAACATAGAACATCTTTTGACACTTTTTTACTTGAGAAATGTATGGGGACTAGCAGTCCATGAAATTGTATAAGGTCTATGTGTGGACGCCACAACGATCACGAACGAACATAAACAAACACGGCGAGCAATGTTCCGCAACTTGTCGGTACATCAAAGGGAATTGTTCGTTCATGTTTGAACTCGTACGTGCAGTGTGGACGCTACCACGAATGTTGACAAACATTTTTTTTTATGTTAAAATGTGCAGTCCTGCATTAGTTTATGTTGTGTTTATTAAGGTGCGTCCACACCTAACGAACGAACACGAACGAACATAAATGAACGTACCAGAACGACGGCAACAGCATAGTGTGGACGGCCACAATGATCATGAACGAACATAAACAAACATGGCGAGCAATGTTCCGTAACTTGTCGGTACATCAAAGGAAATTGTTCGTTCATGTTTGAACTCGTATGTGCAGTGTGGACGCTACCACGAATGTAGACAAACATTTTTTTTATGTTAAAATGTGCATTAATGCATTAATTTATGTTGTGTTTATTATAAGATATTGCTGTTATTGACAAATTTTGTAAATTCGATGACTTTAAATAATTTTGCTCTTTCCCGCTACTTTAAATAATAAATCTGACGTTTCACGGTACATCCTCGACCAAAACGATTCAAACTCTCACTGCTTTGAGGCGTTTGTTTGGAATTATTCGCGTTTGTTCGTGTTCCTGTTCGTTCTTCTTTGTATTTTCTTGTTCCACATGTTCGTTCGTGTTCGTTCGTTAGGTGTGGGCGCACCTTTATAAGATATTGCTGTTATTAACAAATTTTGTAAATTTGATGACTTTAAATAATTTTGCTCTTTCCCGCCACTTTAAATAATAAATCTGACGTTTCACGGTACATCCTCGAACAAAAAGATTCAAGCCCTCACTGCTTTGAGGCGTTTGTTTGAAATTATTCGCATTCGTTCGTGTTCCTGTTCGTTCTTCTTTGTATTTTCTCGTTCGACATGTTCGTTCGTTAGGTGTGGCGCACCTTTATGCTCGGGGCAATGCTCTTCTTTTATCGGAGTGGCAGTTTGTGACGATCCACAACTCTTCCAAACTCATTCTGATTTGTTACACTGCGCATGCGCCATCTCATGACAGTTTCCAACGGTTTGACAAGACGGTTACATCGAACGCGACGAAACTGCCGAGAGTTCATTCGCATGTCTTCGGTATAGTTCGTTTCGTGTTTCTGTTTATTTGCTCAGTTTAAGTAAATGAAATGTGTTCTATGTGTTTTATGGAGAGAGTTTAACATAATGAGTGACAACGAGTTTTTTTTATGATTTTTTGCAGAACGATGAGGAGGAGTTAGATTTATTAGAGTTTGTTCAAGTTCCAAAAAATTAAGAATATCTTGGTGAGTATCAGTTATTATTTATTATTTGCCCTTAAGCTACGAGTGAACGACATCCACTTGACCTGGCGCCATGTTTTGTTTCAATATTTATCATTAGATTATTATAGTTTATTCGAATCCGAATATTTCATTTTTAGCACATATTTATTGATTATAGTAAAAATATCTTAAAATATCGTAGTGAAAGGTTAAGTAGTCAGCTATCAGTATTAAGAACAGTTAATATAATATAATATTTCATAAGTGCAATTTAATCATTTTATATTTTCATTTTGACAGAAAAAGTGGTGCCATTGTTTGATGACATACAATTTCTCGAGCACTTCAGAATAAGCAAAACAACGTGTTCTAATATATCAGAAATATATGAAGATAGTAAATATTATAACAAAATTAAATATGGACCATTTGGAAAAATCTGTGCATTAATCAGGTAAAAAATGTACTATAATTGACAAACCAGTAAAATCATAATTAATTACATATTATTTTAGATACTAATATTATTATGGTTTGCGGGACACCAAACATCCAGCTACAGGGATGTCAGTGATCGTTTTAATATAACGTTAAGTACTTTACATGGAATAGTGCAAAGGGTTGCAAAGGATTTTATTCAATTCATCTACTTGTATCTTTATGTGTTTTACAGTTTTTCAGTTTACTGTATTATATGTATTTTACAGATTCAGGCAGTTTGTGATGACCAAAAGAAAATTATAGATGTGTGCATTGGAAATCCTGCTTCTGTTCATGATGCCAGAATATTTCGAAAATCAAAATTGGGCTCAAATTTAATTCAAAACTGTGAACATTTTGTTTTATTAGGAGATAATGGCTACCCACTAAATGCAAATTTGATGACACCTTATAAAAATATTCATGGCCTTACAGTAATTCAGAAAAATTTTAATAAAAAACTCAGCAGTAATCGAATTAAAATTGAGCATACATTCGGTATGCTAAAACAAAAGTTCTAACAACTATATCATTTAAAACTAAGAAATATAACTCTTATTTGTCACTTTATAAGAGCTTGCTGCGTTTTATATAATATGAGTCTCACTGGTGAATTTGAATATTTGCAAATAGAAGATGAAAATAATGAGACCTCAGATGATGTGTCGGATACTGATCCTTATTTAACAGATGCTTCAATATTATGGGATCAAATTGCAGCTAATTTACCATTATAGGCCTAATTAGGCAAAACCTACATTATTTATTTATTTATTAATTTATTCATAAGCAAGCCTTAATCAAAAATAATAAATATTATTTCAGGCTCTTGTTAAGTACTTATAATGTATTATTCTGTGAATGTTCTGTATTGAAAAAAAATTAAATGAATTAATAAATTAAAATCAGGCATTTATATTGGATAATGATCTATTTATTATATTTAATGAAAATTTATGAATATTTTATTTTAAAGCATTCCATATTTTTGTTTTAGTATTTCTAATTTTGCTTCTTCGATTTGTATTATTCGTTCTTGGAACTTCAACCTGTCTTCTCTCATTTTCTCTAAAATTGTTTGCCTTCTACGACGCTGCCTTCTTCTTGAAGTTGCAATATTTTCTCTAACTTCATATGCACTATCATCCCGTGCTTCTGCATTATTTTCTATTTCATGAACATCACTTGTTTCCAGTATGCAGATTGGATTCATATTGTGGCTATTGCCATATATTTTATCAAACTCTTCTGCATACTGGAAGTTGAAATTTCCTTGCCCTATTAGACATAATTGTTAATATGTATAAAATTATTTTATATATTTACATCATTACTCGTACCAGTAGCTTGTCTGTCAACATATTTTTTATAATTTCGTTGAAGAACTCTCCAACGATTCACAATATTGCCTTCCGTAAAGGTAGTGCCAAATTTAATATTCATGTCATCTTTTATCACAATCCACATAGCCTTCACTGTCCTTATTTCTATTGAACCAACATTTGGCTTATATTTTCTAAAACATTGTATTAAAAATGCTGTTCGCTCAACAGTCCAAACAGCATCTTGAACTCCTACGGCTCCATTAGGTAATATCAAAAATTCTTCTAGTTCTATAAAATAATATAAATTTAGTAATATGAGAAATTAATAAGCACTAACAATTTATTATTATAATAAATTTATATATATATATATATATATATATATATATATATATACATATATTGAAGATTTTTTTTTTAACTTCCCGTAGGGTAAGTTATTGTAATGGGCCGAAAATCGGAATTGAAAATTTTTACATTTCTCGACGTTTTGAAGGTTTCTGAACGTTTTGGCAAATCTCAGAAAAAATGGATGTATGTGTGTGTGTGTGTGTGTGTATGTATGTGTGGATACAAATTTCCAGTCACGTTTTAGGGCGCACGGATCAACCGATTTGAATGGTTCAAAAAACATTCGATTCCTATTGATAGGGAAAAGAGCTGATTAGTTTTTGGCAAAGGCAGGTCCAGCCGTTTCGGAGATACGGAGCCAAGAGTGCAGAAAATAGAAATCGTATTTTTGAGAGAACGGAGTATCCGATTTGAATGATCTAAAAAACATTCAATTAGTAATGATTGGGAGAAGTGTTTATTAGTTTTTGGCAAAGGCAGGCCCAGCCAGTTTGAAGATACGGAGCTAAATATGTAAAAAATGGCAGTTTTTGAGAGAACTAAGCGTCCGATTTAAATGATTCAAAGAACTTTCTGCTTGTCTTAACAAAATAATCGATTTTGGAAAAAAAAATTCCATTTTTTTTTTATTTATTTTTTTTTTTTTTTAGTTTTTTGTATATCGAAAATATTTATTTTTAATTCTGACTATAGTTCTAATATACTTTACAAATAATTTCAACTCTGCAATTCAGTTTATATAATATTTATAAATATTAGACAATGTTACAATATTTATAATAATCTATTTGAAAACATTCAGTAATCCTCGAACATTTCGTTACGGTACGGGAAGTTCCAGCAATTTGCCTTAAGGCACGATGCTACCCACCCCACTAGTTTTTTTTTTGTTTGATAGGTATATATATATATATATATATATATATATATATAACATGACTTTGAAATATGTTTATGAAGAAAAAAGTAAATAAAAAAATATTTAAAAAAAGTAAATTAAAGAAGATTTTGCATTTACTTTCTTTCTTTTTTCGACCTGTGGATGAAAAACTTTAATATATATATTTATTTAATATATATATATATATATATATATATATATATATATATATATATATACGAGTATATATATATTTATATTTATATATTTATATTTATATATATACATATATATATTTATATTTATATATTTATATTTATATAAGAATATTTTTATTATTATTATTATTATAATTACCTTGATTCATAATTTAAAATACGTACAAACTCTATAACTTGGAATATCCTTTCGCACAAAACACTAACGATAAGAAAAAAATCTTTGATATTCGTTTTTTTCCTCGTTTTGAACGAATAATTTGATTGTATATGCATGTTGATCGCGCAGAAGATAACAATAATAATCACAATAGTCAAAAATAGGCAAAGCTACAAAGAAAGTCTATAACGCTCAGATTAAAATTTGAAACCGTCAGACACCAATACTCTCGCAGACACGAAACGACAATCACAAACTTGCACAAACGCATCAAACCGAGATGACCGAACAGTTTGGAATTCAGTTTGGATCATAGGCCTAAAATACAAATGAAATTGTATAAGGTCTATGGTTTGGACACATCGAACCATATACTCTTCTTTTATCTATGTATCGAACCCTCATCGAACGGTCAAAACGATCTGCGCATGCGTCCCACAGTTGCGGACTGTCGGTGACTGCACTCCGAACATACCCGTTGTTGGCGCGATGGCACGACTCACGACTGTTACTTGTCTATTTGACAAGCGTGACCTTCTGACCTGTCATAATAGCTGCGCTTAGTTATCTATGATAGTACTATACCTTCCCTAGGCAATACAATAATAGCAATATAATAATAGATTTAATGAAACTGGTGCACGTCATCTTGATTTCTTACAATAAATATTATATATAAATATGTTTTGGTCGAAATTGTTATGAGTGAAATAAATTTAATTAAATTGTCGATTATATTACGTATTTGATGGATACAAACATTTTTTTACTGTGTAATTTACGGAACCACAGTTCGAACTACAAGTTTAGGTTTTATTCCAAATAAACTCAACATCATATGTGGTCGAGTTGTTTGATATATCATATTTTATGCAAATTAAATGCGAAATATGGCTCAGTTATTACATTATTTACCTGTTTTGACATTTGTATTATTTCCAACAACTTTTCTTGGAACTTACATAATGGCAGTGCTTTTGGAACACGTGGAACCAGCATTCCCTTATATTAGTGATGTAGCAACATACTCACCTGAAAGTTGTATATTTGGTCAGTTTATAAATATAGGGTGTGTCCTATTGATGTTAATAGTGTATGTTAGATATCGCCATGTTCTTCAACTAATGAGCCTTCATCAGGAATTAATAATTATTCGTAATATTAACAAAAATGCACTTTGGACTGGATATGCTGCTTCTTTAGGATTAAGTCTTGTTGCAAACTTCCAAGAGACTAATGTAAAAATTGCACATTTTACCGGAGCATGCTTTTGTTTTGGATTGGGAACAGTTTATTTTTGGATGCAAGCATTAGTTTCTTATCATCTACATCCATATACTGGCAGTATGATCCTAGCACATTTTAGAATTGTTTTATCTGTGATATGTACAATATTTTTCATTATTGCTTTTATATGTGGAGTTTTGGCCAGACTTCAATATGAAGGGCATAATCCTAGAAAGTGGTACCCTAGTGATGGAGGTTGGATATATCATGTCTGTAGTACGATTTCAGAATGGGTGGTGGCTGTATCATTTTGTTTTTACATACTATCTTTCACAAGAGAGTTTAGAAACCTTAGCATAAATCAGCCCCAACTTGAATTATTAGAAAACCAATTAATACTTAATATTAGCTAATTTATTAATTATAACTTCTAAAATCTGTGATTCTATATTGTATTATGACATGTAATAAGAAATATGTAAATATGCTCATACTTTGGAATTTGTTTTTTTTTGGAATACATGTATATTTTATTCAAATTTGTATATAAACTTTGTTCAACGTTTATTACCTACATTCTATTTCTGTATAAAAAACTGTTGAAAAATGATATACAATAAATAATAGTTGGAATTAAACTCCAACTCAAATCAGAGAAGAATAGCGTGAGAGATTTCCCATTGTCATGTGACGCTGCAATGCGAGAAAAGAGATATTTACAAATGGAAATATATTTGAGATCTACATTTTCAAGTAAAAATTGATATCAATACTGCATGTTATCAGGTTGTCGACAGAGAAGGCTTGGACACACACACAACCTTTTCAAAAGAAGACACTGCGATTGTCTTTATTGTTTCCATATGTTTTGACATATTATCTTACATCATCTTCAGTGAACTACAAATTGAAAAAAAAAAAACAGAATATAAAATAACTAAACTATGTGACATACAGTGAAAAGAATAAAAATAAAGACAGGTCCAGCGGCTTTGGGAGTATGGAACAAAAAGTACAAAAAATTCCAGTTTCTAAGAAAATGAGTTAAACATTTTGAATGATTAAAAAACATATTACTTGTAATGACGAAATTAAATTAATCAAACTTATTAAATTAATGAGACTAGTGGTGCATGGCATCATGCCTTAAGGCAAATTGCTAGAACTCCCAACAAAAATTAAATTTTTAAAATAACTTTAACTTTAAAAATTTGTGAAACTGAAATTAAATAGATTTTTGAGAAAAATGTGACTGAAAAATTTGATTTTTTTTTTATATTTCGAAAATTTTGTTGTTCTTTGAATTTTCTGAAAATTCTGAAAAAATTTTTCAGAGCAATTGCGCACGTGGATTTGGATGTTTTACAGAAGAAATATCGAAGCGCATCGCAGTATAACGGAAAAACATTCGTACGGAGCTCATATAAATTAAAACAAAAAAATCATAATAAGTATTGAAATCTCTATAAAATATTTGATAATTTGATATGTACAATGTACAATGTCTAATGATTATTTCTGATCGCCATTTTTTTTATTTTATTTTCATTCGGCAATCTATAAAAATAATTACATTTAGCAGAGAATGCTGACAAGTTGTTTACAATTGTCTACAAATTAGTGGATACGCCCAGTGGCGTACATACTAGAGCTAATATAACAAAAAACAAACTAAAGAAAAATATGGAGAAAAAAAATATAAATAAACTATGGGGCAATTCTGCCATAACATAGCTCATAAAATAGCGTTGTCCTGGCAACGCTATCTTATGCTTGTTCTTGGTGTTGAACATTATGAACATTATGAAAATGTCTAAATATTTGCCATGCGATCAGGCGTATTTTACATATAACAAAAAAGGAATAATGTTATCATAACAGAATTCTAGATGATGCAGTTATCATATTATAGAAAAATGCGGTTCTATAGTAGATGTACTTTATAATAAAATAGTAACAACACTATGTGTGATTATATTTATTATTTATAGAATGTACGTAATATTTGAGTATTGAAAATGAAAAGGAAAAGTATTGTAATTTATGATGTTGACTGTTCGGTAGCAGACAGAAGAGAGAGTTCCGAATCCTGAAGCTTGCACTTTCCATAGATAAATAAGAATAAATAGATCGCTATCTCGGGCGATTTGACGTTACACCCATTTTAATTTTCCAATTGATCACAACATGGCAGCACATGTACATATAGTATGTAAATTAACCCCTGGTATTATTTCTACATTTGTACATATAATCAATACAGCCAAAAAATCTGAAAAAAAATATTTGAAATAAGAACAAAACATACGAAATACAAAATATATTTTCAAATATATCACAGACATATTTTTGAAGAATTATAAACTAAACAGAAGCAACTGACTACTATTAATTAAAGTATATTACAGACATATTTTTAAAGTGCTACAAATTAAAGAGAAATAACTTATTAATATTAATTACTTAATAATAATATTAAAAACTTAAATCTAAGAAGTAAAAAGCGCAGGAGTATTGACGATGGAATGACAAATTTAGAAAGAATGACAAGTAATGCAAAAATTTAAAAGGATAAAAAGAACAGCAAATTTTTAAAAAAGAACGAATACTTCCCAGACAAAATAATCCTCAAAATTAAAAATATATATATTGATATCCAAATTGAGATAAAACTAAATTCCTAGGATTAAAATTCATTTACGAGACATTCTTCTTTATTATCTCTCCATTTAATAGTAATTTTGCTATCTAATCAATCATTAATAAAGTTACATTTGACGAAATCTTTGAATAGTGTCTGTATAAGTGTTTTTTTAAACCTAACTAACCAAAATCCTGAACTACTTTTAATTTATGCCAATTGTATCGTTTCAATCCAATTTTTATTGCAAGGACGTTTAGTTAAAACTATAACTAAAACTTGCTTTTTATAAAATGCCTGGTCTTTGAGTATGCTCTTTTAATTGAGACAATATCAAAATTTTTGCCCTTACATTTTACGTTTCCGGAATATTTGAAAACTTCTCAGAACATTGTATACTCCGTTGGAATTTATCCTTTAAATTATTGCATTGTTTGTTAATCTTTTTTAATCTCGAAACAAAATTTGATGTATCATACATCTTCTGGATGTTAAGGCACTCCTACGCCTTATCACTGCATTCTGCGGCAATTTGCAGCTACCACCAAGGACTTCTATTGAATATATTGTTATATCATATTAATTGAAGATATTGTTATTATCATATTAATTATTTTTGCTGCAATTATTATGAAAAAATACCTTTGCGGAAAACTGGTGTCAGAATAGGTGACTTTTAACATGCACTTGACAATCTTAGGGGTGCTGCAAAAATCTTTTTCAAGGTTTTTAGGTTTTCATCACCTATCTAAGAACATAAGATTTATTTATTAATATTTTATTGCAAATGGTATTGAAGTATTTAGAGTTATAATTACTTGGCCCTGTCCTTGGAGTTGTATATTGTTCTTCTGGTTCTGTATCAGAGCATTCTCCAGTGACTTGAAAACTATTCTATTATTGCCGTGAAGGAGACACTTCTAATTGCTTTCGATTTCAAATTATCTGCGATTTGTGCCACAAACCGAAGAGTTAGGTCATCCATTAAAAGATTATTCGCCCTCTGCATCCAAATTGAAAGCATCTTTTTACACACAAATATATATATATATATATATATATATATATATATATATCTATATATATATAAATCTCGTGTCACGATGTTGGTTCGCGATGGACGCCCAAACTACTGGACCGATTTTAAATTTTAATGGCTCATCGTGTGCATATGTATCCAACTTAGGTTATAGGAAATTTTGAAAAGTAAATTTGAAATATAAATATATAATTTTTATAAATTTCTAAAAATTTTGACAGAAAATGACCAAAAAAAAAACAAAACACTAAAATGACAAATGTCAAAATTAAAGGAAATTTGGATATATAATTTTTGAAAAAAAAATTTGACATTTCAAAAAATAAAATTCAAAAACATGTACATATATAGAAATATCCAACATTTATATCCAAATTTGATGAAATGCTACATACAAAATCACTGATTATAGTTTTAAATCTAATTAAAAATCAATGCTTAAAAATTTAAATAAATGTTGATGAAAAAAAAATAAATGTCATCTGTCAATATTTATGAAAATTATTATATAAATAGATTTATGATTTAGATTTAATTGATTAGCTTACCAAATTATTTCGGAAACCAAAACTTCATTAAAACCTTATAGATTAGAGATCACAATAAAAAAGCGGCACTTGAATTTAAAAATAATCATAACCAAAATTTTGACATGTCACAAAAAAAGAATGTTTAACGAGTTACTTCAATAAGACGCAAATAAATTAATTGACATATTGAATTTAAAATTAATCATAAACAAAAATTTGACATTTCACAAAAAAAATGTTTAACGACTTCAATAAGAAACAAATAAATTAATTATTCCAAGTTATATTGCCGAAGAAATTATAGATACAGCACAATATTGTAAAATAAATATCATAGATTAATTTTCGACCAAAAAGGAAATATTTTGACATTTACAAATATACTGCATATTGAATATATGAAATTGACATTCACTATTTTTCAATTAAATGAAAATGTAAAAATTCAAATATTTATATAAAAAATTGTATATTTAGATGAAGATACTGATTTGTTAATTTAGACTGAAACCTGATTTATTCATTAATTTTAAAAAAAATTGGCATAAACAAAATTATAATAAACAAAACACCTGCATCATGCGTTGGAATTAATTATCGAAGTGTAAAGAAATTTGTGTAATTAAAATAAAATATTATTATTATATAAGTTGAAATAAATTTTGATTGCCATCGCAAACGTTAATCATACAGGAAATTGTAACCTCTTAAATGGAATAGTACAATCTGAAGGTATCATTGCAATCTGACAAAAATAAACTAGACAAACTAAATACTATATCATATTATATTAAATTTCGATCCGAAAGAAAATATTTTGACAGTTATAATTAATTTGAAATGAAATGCAAATGTCAAAAATCAGATCTTTATGTAAAAAAATATTTATTTCCACAATATTCCCGTGTTGAATTTGCACTTTTTTATGAATTTAACAAGCATATAATATATTCATTGATCACTTAAAATAATTATTAATTTATAATAAATAAATATTGACGTATTTGACATGACAAAAGTATAATAAACAAAACGCTATGATGCGAGTGAATTAATTTTTGAAGTATGAAATGTCAAATAATTTTGAAAATTATAACAAGTTTTTAACTATTTGTCAGAAAGAATATATTTTATTACAAATTCATACCCATATCAAGCACCAAAGTAATAAATACTATTTATAAAATGACATATTATTTATAG